GAGGTATTGGAAAGAGTCGATTGAAGGAAGAAGAGACACGAGTCTGTCGAAAGGGATCCTCTGAATACGTTCGGAATCGGAACACATCCGAGAAATGTATAATGAAATTCTATTTTTAATAAACTTTTCTTTTAATGATATACTCGTTTGTTTTATGTCAACGGTTCAAGTCACGACGCAGCGGTGCTGTTCCATAACCAGAAATTCGGTTTTGTTCCCGTTTAATAGGATTTTTCTTTTGTACGGCAAATTAATAGCCGACCCTCGACGATTTTACTTAGGAAAAATGTATTTTAAGTTCATTAGAATCTATAATTCTATCCGAGATTCAGGATAAAAAATTCTTTTCTTTGGACCATTAACATTTTCGATATTAAAATTCTCTAAAACTTCGTTCAGATGTTTTTTACATCGTTAAATTTTATTAATAATATACGTGAGAGATTAATATCTTGTAATATCTTGTAATTGTGAAGATTTTCAGACCTTTCGTCTAACCATATTTTCCCAAAATAATACTATATATACTTAAAAAAATCGTAGAAAAGGATATAAAAGGGAATTTTGGGAGAAATATATTTTCTAAAATGCTATTACAAACTTATCATTAATTGTAATTAAAAGTCTCGAAAGAAAAGAGAAATAATTTGTTGAAGAATTGATCAAGGAAACTTAATCGCATTGAATTCTCCTCATAAATATCTTTGTGGAATAGCATTATTTCTCTACAATAACGTTTATTAAAAATACTTATTTTATTTTACGTTGACACTAAAATGTTAGAAGATCGTAGAAATTATATTTCCATTGAATTATTTTATTCGATTGTATTTTCACTAAAATGTACAAAGTATGTGAACTTTATTGGAGAATCTTTTTGTTAGTGATATAGTAATATTCGTTTCCATAGAAAATGTTTTCGTTATCCTACCACCCCAATTTTCACGTCTTTTTTTCTTTTTTATTTTTACCCTGATAGAACAACGTAGACGACAGCTCGAGGAAACTATAGCGTGGATCCCTCATGTTTAACCGCAAATCTCGCGAAAATTGGAATTATAATTGGATAGGGCGGAACAATAATTTCAGCTCGTGCCGCCATTTATTCGTTCGATATCTCGTTCTCGGTCGTCTGAGTCGCTGGTCCATGTTCATATAAATTACGTATGTTTGTGGAACATGTGCCTTCGAAGAACGATAGCTGGACGAGTAATTATCATTATCGACCGGTGCAGGAGTGTGGACAAGTTAATACCTCAGTCCAGACCTAGGGATTCTGTTTTATTTCAATTATAATTCAGAAATTGAAACGACAATAGAAACCTAAGAATCGATGATGTTCTACATAAGGTGGTAGCGTTCGAATAGTTTGATCGTGAAGTTGAAAGAGGATGAAGATAAAGATGGAATTAAATCTTGTTAGGATTGCGAAAAGATAATTAATTTTTTTCTAGCAACTCCATGTATACCATATATCAAGAGACCTTTTACAGAAAACTTTTGAAGTTTCGTTAGTATTGCATACGAGATCATAATTGTACGAGTAAAGTTTGAAACCGATCTAAAAACGTCGTAGCGAATCACGTACGTAAAAGCTACAAGATTTGTATTGCAAACGAAAAGAAATATTTTACTTTCGGTCATTTCTGCTTTTATATTATTTTAATTAATAACTCTATAGTAATTTAATCTAAGAATTATATACATAAAATTATCACAAGAATTATTAACTGACTTGAAGTAATGGGACATTTTGTGCGGATATGGTTTTCCTCGATAACCAATAATAATATTTTCGCCGGCTGCCGGATAATTTTTAAATAAACTAATTTCACGTTTCCTATCATACAGTTTCTAAATATTTCAGAAAGCTGATTTATGTTATATATTTGACACCCTTTTCTCGTTCATTCTCAACGATTCTATACGTGCTCCGTAATATTTAGGTCAGGGCTCTGTTTATCGTTGCATTTCCAAAACATTTGTGAGCCAGGGAAAATAATAAATGAATAGCAGAATGACGATAGAACTGGAGAATTTTAAATAAAATCCTAAAACACAATGGTCCTCTATAAATAAAAAGTCGAAAGTTCAAGTGTGTCTCGTAATTAAACATTTCCTAAAGATATATTTACTTAATGATTAAAAGACCAGCGACGTATATCGTTTGAAACCTTCGCACAGCCTTGCTCACACAAAAGGAAGGTAATTTTTCATTAATTAAAACGCTGCAAGGAACTTGCTGCCCGGATTATCGCCAAGACAAACGAAACTTTGCGGAGCTTCTTTCTTTGTAACAGTTTTTAGTGATAACATTTTCTGTTTATTCCTGAAAATTCTGTGAAATTCTTAGTGGGCAAAAGTGAAGTTTTCTTTCTTTGTTCAAACACGGAGAACATCCATTTTATAGGTAACGAGAAATATCTATTCGTTTGTATCGTCTATACAGACGATTACATAGCGTTTCAATCGTAAGTTTCGAGAAGATACGAAAGAGAAAAAACGTGGATGGTACCGAGGAAGTAAAGTGTCAAAGAGGATTTTACATGCTGTCGTTGCCTCTAGTTTAAATCTACTTTCTTTGGCCGCTCATTCTTGACAAACTTCTCCGTGGGGTTTGTACACAGAAGCTTATGCTCACAGCACGGTGTAAAGCGACATAAGTGCCATTCTCCCTTGCAAGTCAGACATGAGATCTGCTTGCTAGACAGCAAATTTAAAAGCCGATGAGAGAGGAAAAGAATAGCGGAGGTAGCTATCTCCGAGTTTCAAAGACACTGTACCCTGTTTTCTTCCGATTAACGTTAAAATTGCTGAAGATTCCTTCTGGAATCGTTAAGTATTAAATTTATTATGGTAAGAACTATTAATTGATATTGCTGACGATTAGCGTTAGTATTGTTAATGATTAACGTTCGAACTTCTGGCGATTAACGTTAATCTCGATAAAAACAGATATTGCAGTTGCTGATTATTAATATTAGAATTTCTAATAATTAAAGTTAAAAGTGGTAATAATTGATATTAGATTTCCTAAGGGAACTTTCACGAAAATATCACAGATTAAAGTAATTATTCGAAAATAATTTACAAACTGCTCGCTTTATCGGTAATTTTCATACGAAACACTCGACTGAACATTTCTCTCCAAATTTTCGTTCCACAGAACTCTATCAAGTTACGATTGTATCAAAACGATAGAGTTATCACAGAAACTCGAATTAAAGTTATTAACCGTGACATTTTACTATTTCTTAGATTGGAGTTAGGCAGATTGTTTTGTAATTCCATTTCCCCAATACATTTGCGACACTAGGCACTGCTGTTAATTCAAAAAGTCGCACAGTCGCATTTTTTATTCGACTCGAAGAAAAGCACGCCGTTTCATATCTTCGCGAAAGCATCACAAGTGGGATTCGAAACAAAGTCAAAAAACTAATTAAGCAAGAAGATATGGAATAAGTTGGCAGCCGGTACCCGACGATGAGAATTCAAGCGGCAACTTATGGGAAACGAGATTGTTCTACTCAATAGAAACTTGTTGTGTACTTTTAGCGAAACTCCTGATGAAAAGATGATCGTTCCAGCCGAACGAGAAGTCTCGGCGAAATTAAACGTTACCTCCTGAAAGTAAAACCTTGTGATCGTTGACTTTTTCGGCCTTAATTTCGCGTCGACCGATCAACGGAGGTAGGAAAATCATCGTGGTCCAATTTTTTACTAATTAAAAAACTTGAAATTGTAACGAACGCTTATCAAACATTCAACTTTATAATTTAATCACGCCGGCTAAACTTTCGCTCTATCGCAATCTCGTCCAACTTTCAAGAATACAAAAATTTCAATACAAACACTTCCGATCGAATTCCATCGATAAAAATCCCTTTTTGAATTGGAAAACTCGCAATCTCTTTTCAACGAGATTCCACGGGAAAATTCTGCGATGCTTCCATCCATATCAAAAATTTCACTGCTCTGCGAGTTAGAGAGAGAAAAGAGAGAGGGAGAGAAAAATACTAAAATGAATAGTAAAAATGTGAAACATCGCGTTAAATGAAATTTCACGCGGAAGTAAACGAGATTTCTTGAATGAAAAGTAGATCGACGATCGGTAATTAACGCACCTTCGAAATTAGCAACTGACTGGTGCAAATTCGCCAGATATCAAAGTCAATCCAACGCGTTAGAAGATGTTCGAGAACCGGCATAATCGGAAGAGGGTTACCGTTAGCTCGTTAGCTTAATGATCGCGCAGACTTCCGTTGAAACACACAACCAGCCTCGAAGGAAATTTGGTCCTGTTTCGCGGCCGAACAGTGCGTTGGTTGATGATAACGAAACGCTGAATTAACTGGTTTACTCGTTTGCCATGATTCCCATTGGTAATAACAGGAAATGAAATACGCGAACGATTCGATATGTCGTTTCCTATTGGAGGAAGCTCTCCCGACGCTGTGCGTCGCGACGTTTCTCTTTTCTCGACGGAGGCTCCTCTTTTCCTATTAACGCGTAACCATGATTTATATGCATGGTTTTTCCAAAGATTTATAAAAGATTTATAAGCAAAAATATATAAAAATATACGAAGACACAGGAGATAATATTAGAAACTCGCTTCATTTCTTTCGGTATTTTTTTTTTTTTGTTCTATTTAGACAAGGTTGATTAGTTGTCTATATTACACGGTGACCACACGAATCACCCGTGTTATTGATTTTCTTGCAAAAATTTCGTTGATGCATAATTTAAGCTAAAATATAGATTTTTAAATTAAGGCAGCATATTTATAGTCGTTCCTAAAAGACACAGTGCAAAGCAGAAATTCGAAATCCTCGCTGAAAGAAATTTGTATTGCTATTTAGAAATGTCATTTATTACGAATAAAACTTGGAAGGATGGAGGGAGTTCCAAAATTTTAGCCCGTTTCGAACTGGAATATTCTCGCGTGTGTTTGTCATTGCTGATGGAAAATGTAATGAAGAAAATGAAAAAGAACTCACCTCGACGACGTAATGAAGCCCCGAAAGTGTCATTCTGGCCACAGAATCTTTTCGTCTGACTGGTTGCTGCCATCTCCTCAATGTAACACCCTAAATAAGAGCACTTATTATTTCCACAGGAAATGTTATCCGCTAAAGAGTTACACGAGTGGTTTTAACAGGACCAGCCAAGGATAAAGGTTTGAGGAAGCGTGTTAATTAAAATTCTGCGAGCAAGTAAAGAGAAACTCCGCTTTTCATTAAGGAAATTAAATACAATTAAACGAATTCATTAATGAAAATCGGCGGAACGGAAGAGCAAAGTGGTTCCTTTGAGGGAACGCGATCGATACCATATCCCTTCGTACGTTCGATAAAGAGAATTCGCGACGCTCTGTATTTTTATCTGGTGTCGAGGAAAAAATATGCTCGATATATTTCGGTTGACACAGTTTCGCGAGGTCCGTGAACGAAACTTTCTTATCTTCGCAGAACACCAGAAATTGTATGTCGCAAAAAGTGAACAGAGTTTCCTTTTAGATTACACGACTTGATCAAGTACGTCGTGCCTTCGTCGCGAGAAACTTTTAATGGAAATAATTTTATACCGATAAACGCGCCTACGACGAATTAACCATCGTTGAGTTTTATGTATATGAGTATCGGATATACCACGAAACGCTTATAAGTCCTTTGATGAATTTTATCGACAGTTGCAGTAGAAATAATATAAATTAAAATAGTTCTTTGTCCTTTGGTCAATTTTCCTCGAATATGCGCTTTGATAAATTTCAATCGCATTAAAGATATTATGCATTAACGTAGTTCTAAAGACTGGCATTTCTTTTCTTTAATATAAACGAAGCATAATTTCAAGAAGAAGAATTAAGGAACGTACGAAAAAGGAATTACAAGGAAAGGAAAGAATATGAATAGTAATTTTATTAAAATCTGCATCTCCGGATTTGTTATGTTCATTTGGGTTGCAAATTTATAAACCTTTGTATATAACAACAAAAATCGCAGAAAGATAAATACTGTAAATCAAATAGATACAGCATGTTAGAAAAAGGAGACTAGAATTTTAAGAGCTCGTGGCATTTATCGAAAAATGTCACATAGAGTAAACGTGAAAATTGATTAATCGCGACACCTGTCGTCGTTACTGGCGTGTTATTATGTATTGCGCCATAACCGCCGGGCACCGGAATGGCTTTCGTTCTTCTTCTTTTGACAGCCAAGCGATACACAAGTGAGACGCGTTGTGCGAAATACGTATATGGATCGAATATAAACGAAATATAGACAAAAATGAGCGCATGTAGTGGGAAAAATGAAGTTCGGGTAATATTGACTTACTACGTACTTTATATCTTTTCAATCACTTTTCGATTATTATTGCGATACACAGTAGCGGCTATGAAAAGTAATCTGTACATATTCTTGTTTTCCAATGGAGAACTTTTTTATCAGGTTCCACATTCAATTTTTATAGCATTGAATTTTCGTAGTTGTACGAAAGTATTACAAAATGATATCAAGCTTGACATACTTAAACTTAATCAATATAAGTATACAAATGCTGTGATATATTAACGATGTACAAATACCTTTCCTAGTCACGGTATGTGTAGGAGGTTTTGAACAAACCTTGTGTCTTCAAGGTGCACATTTGCTTTTCACTCACATCGTATTACTTCTTCTTGTTAAACGACAAGGAGTAGAATAAAAATACTTAATCGATATTGGGAGCTTTTCATTTTCATTCCAGGTATACTATTTTTCTACTATTTTTCTTTGTACATGCCTGACGTAACTTCTGTAAAGTTTTTTCAACTTTCACGTATTAATAACCTGCTGACTTACTTCTGGCACCTCGGTAGTATCTGGCACGTCCCTGGTAATATCAGGATCCGGCGGTCTATGTTCCGGAACAAGGGCACCGTATTTCCTCGATGCCATTCTTCGTCTTCGATCCAACCATCTTTGTCTCTCCACAGCCTCGGACTCCTCGTCCACGCCGAAGAATTGTGCTGTTTCGCGTCTGATGTAGCTGAAACAGAAAATAAAGCACCGTTCGAGTTATTCGTTCAACAAAATGTATTTACACCGCGCGTTCCATCCACGTTCTTCTACCACGTAATAAAAAGGAGAACAACGAACGTTACACACGAATTCGATTAATGTAGTAAGAATGTCTGTGAACTACTACGTGGATGGTACATTGGATGTATTAGATCACTTGGAATTCTGATAGAATTTACGTCGAAGTAATGGTCGATCGAGAATTGAATTCAATCTCAAATAATTGGTATGTTTGCTACCATAGCGAATTTGATAGAATATATTTCGTAATATAATATATATTGTTATAACATATTAAAAATGTATATAACTGATACAGAATCTTTGCAAAAGAAAACAATCTTTTTTGAAAATTATAAAACTCAATTTATAACTTCAGCGTCGATTATAATGTATATAGTATTATAATGATTAAAGCGATTATAGGCGATATATTGAGAAAAAGATAGTAACTGCTTGCGATTTATATTACTTTAATCAAAATGAATTGAGTATGAGGTGCGTTGATGAACTCCATAAATTGAACAGAACAGTGTTATGTTAAACCCTTAGAAGTCTTCTTTTTATCATCCTCTTGCACTAAACGAACTTACGCAAGTTTCGGTTAGTTCTTAATTTCATTACATAAGTACACAATTAATATTCAATTTTCAAAAAACAAATGATTATAATCATCTCATACCATTTTCATGCAATAAACGAACTTCCATGTTCCACTTGCCAAGTTCCAAGAAACTGAATATTAATTGTGTACTTATGTAATGAAATTAAGAAATTAATGGAAAGCACGGTTAATCGGATCGGCATAAAATTAAATCTAAATTAATTTGAGAACGCCTCTCACACGCGTGAAGCTGATAGCGAATATATTGAGAAATATGTTAAATAAATTAAACTGACTTCCTGATAGCCTCGGTGCGACTCATAGTCCTCCTCAATCTGTGTTTCTGTGTGCCAGGATTGCTGGAAGTGCTGGCCAGCTGAACGACTGGTCTGGGTGCAGTGGGTGCTGATACGCTTCTTGTGATGCTTGGCCCAGGTTCTTGGGTCCTGGGTCCAGGGGTGGTCAAGGATATCGTTGCTGTGGTTGTGATTGGTGCAGCAGTTGTTGGGTTCGTTGATGTTGGACCCACGCTTCCCACTGGGTACAAGCTGATGCTCTGGCCATTTTCACCATCGGGGGCACTCGAAGAAACCGTGGATGTGCCGGTTGTGCCGGACCCTGGCGATGGTTGCCTGTAGACATTAATTTAGAACGTTGCTAAGTTAAGAAGCATTTTAATTCATGGTATTATTAAAACAGAGAATTTTTCGAATGAATATAGATAAATAAAAAGCTTAACGCGGATACGTGATTTTGTATAATAATGAAAAGTCTTTGATATAGGCAGAAGAAGAAATAACTTTCGTATTTCATCGAATGATTGTAGCTTACGATTGTAGATCAAAATTGTTCAAAGATTGTACGTCATGGTCATTCGAATTTTTTTCAATATCTCGCCGTACAGATAAAATTTATTAACAACTTTCTAAGGACACTGGAAAACATATTATGTATTTCACTAAATGTTTGTAGATTATTGCTGTAAATTAAAATCGTTCAGGAAAATACACCATGACCATTCAAATTTATTCATCAAACTATAAAACAGAAACCTATAAAAATTTTTTAAGAACACTAGAGAAAAATCGTACGAGATCATCGAGCGAGATAATCTTTATATCATTATATTACATTATTACGGACATTATTATTTATCAATATTAAATGAACGAGACTGTAGATGACAATTATAGATTAAAATTGTTCAGCAAAGTACATCATGGCCATTCAAATCTATTCGTCACACCCTATAAAGCAGAAATTCATGAAAAATTTGTTAAGAACGCTAGAAAACAATAAAAAGAAATTATTGAGAATACAAGAAATACCACTGAATACCTTCCTCATAATAAAATTTCAATTCTAACACATTCAACGCTTTCGCTAACCAAATTCAAACAGAATCTCTTTCCATAAAACACGATGCCTTGGAAGACTGCCGCTTTAAAATCGACCCACAGGTGAAGACCGAATTTTAGCGCAGCCAGATTCCCGGTGGTAGCGGTATCTCGTTTCTTTCAGGAAGGATCGCGTGGAAATGATTAAAATTGGATGGGGTGAGGCGGCTGCGAGAGCGGCTAAAGAGCCTCTTTCTCCACGGGTGCAGATCGGAAATCGCGGTGAGGACGGTGAAACGTTTCCGTGGTTGAATGTGCACCGGTTATGAACTCGGCGACGTAATCCCGCAGCGGCAAAGAAGAAGAGAAACTATAAGCCCTGTCCAGCCGGCTACAAGTAGCCGAAAGTGGCGACTCCTGGCCACAAGCTTGTGTACAGGATCCCTATGGAAACGTGGCAAACTTTTCAATTTTATCTGCTTCTCATCTATTCATGACTCGTCGGTTTCGTGTCCCGGCATTCTTTTACGGGATTCCCCGGTTACGTGGGCGCTGGCCAGCTTCCACAACAATCGACCACACCGGCTACGACAGTCCAATAACCGGGACTGTGTGCTGAGTAGGTTTAGAAAGTGATAGGATACTTCGAGAGTAGCTTGGAATCAATTACAAGTCAAGAGAGGCTGACTATCTTTTAGGCGATTCTTCTTGAGGATTATTGAAGGTATTTATTTATTTTCTAAACCTAAATCTTATATCTTGTTCCTTTTCTTTTTTTGTTTTAGAATCGTGGGTTCTTACTAAGGGATTGTGAGATTTCTTTTTTACTTCTGGAGGATGTTTTGAGAATTGTTAACAAGACATGTTTTATTTTCCTCTTCTTTCTATCTCCTCCTTTACATTTTTTGAAGCATAAATGTGTAATATTACGAATGACCTAGTTTCGAAAGAACTATCAGATTCTTGTTTTTGCTTTTGAATGATATTAATCTTTTTCGATATGGATTGAAGAATTGCGTCTGGTGTCATTGAAGGTTTTAATCAATATCTTTGAAAGATGCTGTACTGAAGTTTGTGAAGATCTCAATACAAGAGGTAGCGCGATGAATTTGTTTTATAATGTCAATGAAGAATTTTATATGACTATATATATATACAGAGAGAAAAATATAATAGAGAATAATTTTCACAATATTTTGTAGACTATAATTCTAACGATATTCCGTAGAGAATAATTCTAACAATTTCTTTCTCATACCTTTTGTTATATCTGTCACGATCAAAGGTTTTGCTGTATAGCGTGCATTTTAATTTTGAGTTGAAACATATCGTGCACGTTCGTGTCTTTAAACTCTCGTTGTAATTCAACGGAACTTTACTTGGGCTAAAATTTAACGACATTCGACGTTACGATATAATCATCGGTTTTACGCGATCGAATTACTTTGACTTCCTTCAGATATGTATCCAGCAAAATTACGCTCCTTCGATTCCGCTCGTTAACACGTCCAACATTTGTTCACAATTTGTAGGGACTTCTGTGCGACTTCTGTCTCGCGCCTATACATACGCCCAATCTATGCAATACAATCTATGCATGCGACTTAAGCCAGGTATCAAACACTGAAAGCTTTACAACGCAATTACGTTAGACTACTGAGCTCTATCAGACACGAGAATCATTTAATACCTTTGAATCGTTTCAAACCATTTTCGAATAATGGGCGAGTTGTATCAATTGTTACAAGTATTTTCCACGTTCAAATATTCAGTACAAAATTACACTATTTTAAAGGCACAACAAAAAAGAAAGGACACGAAGGTACATTAGTTCACGAGGGAAATATGGAAAACCTTTTCTCGAGGTATTTTCTTTTTTTTTTTATTAAATTTTAAGATTTTATAGCCATAAAGTTTCAAGATGATAAAATTTTGTTTTGGTTAAAATGTATTATTAAAATTCCTATTAACAAATAAAATTCCAACAATAAGATATCTTCTAAATTAGATCTTACGCTTTTATATTTAGCCAAGATAAAAAGCGAAAGGTAATATAGCAGAGAAGAAAATTGCGTTAGAAAAAGTGTACGATTCAGCGGCGGAACTTTTTTAGTATGATAACTCACAGAGGAAGATTTAAAATCGCGGCCTTGCGTTCGCTACAGTTTCATTAAAAAATCATGATGTTTAATTACCACGGCAACAGATTGCATAAGATTGACCCTCTAACGTGCAGCACGAAGAGGAACGCGTGCAATGGTTGAGCCTCAGGATAAACTGCTGGAAAGCATGTCGAGGGAAAAGAAAAAGGGAGACGCCAGCCAGCACCTGCTACCTCGAAGACCCAGAGAAATGGCCTGTCGTCTTCGTACGTGCACTTTTCTTTGAATATTCACCTCGTTTCGATGAACAAAGGGTTCTATTAATAAATTAGGAAAGATACATCTCTCTACCTGAGCACTTATTCTATCTGAATTTCACTAATTTTGTCTAGAAAGTCTAGAAAGTCTAGAAAGAAACACAAGGATGATTTTAATTTTAATCGTTTTCATTTTAATTATATATAGGATATTATAAATTCGTGGGATTTTAATATTTATATCGGTGCAATGAAGATAGAGAGATGAAATTTCTTGAATAAACTAAGCGCTAATGAGAACCATATCGTTATGTTTCTGTTCCTGTTAAGTTAATTAAAAGGACTCTAATTTAGCCGACTTTAATTCTCGGAGGTTTAATGTTTTGAATTTTTCTATACGAATATTCCTGAACTTCTTGTACAATAATTTTGAAGTAAGTTCAATAATTTTGAACAACTTCGAGAAAATTCTATTCCTGCTGTTACATAAAATCTATGATGGGCGTTGGAATAATTAGTCAGTATGCCATTACAGTAAATATATTAATAGATGAATCGCTTATTTTGAAAGTGGTGTAAGTTCGTTTTCAACAATTTCCTCCCTCATTCTGAGCTTCCTGATTACAAGGAGCCATTTTCAAAATCTACAAAAAAAGGGAATTATTCTTTTTCTTTCTTCTTGTAAAATAGTGGCACGAATATGTCACAAAAATTATATTAGAACATAATTCTTATTAAGAAAGAAGCTGAATTTATCTGAAAAGTTATCGAACCTTTGAAGTTAACGTCACTTACAATTTGTGATTTTAGCGACTGACAAAGATGAATTCCGCTCGTAAAGAAGAGAAAAGAGAATGATAGACAGAGGAGACATAATTGTGTCCCGTGACAATAAAACTCTAATATCCGGCCGTGGAAACGAGGTGTGAGCAATGCGAAGCTGACTTTTTCCAGCGAGAATGTGGGAGAATTGGGAACAGGGAGCAGAAAGCGGAAGGAAATTGGCGGTCAGTCATCGAGTTTCCCGGTAAATTCTCTGCTTTGTAGTCGAAAAACGCGTTACACAATTCCCTTGCACTTAGAATTATGTCCATCGTCCATTTTTTTCAGGAAGATCACGTCATCACGAAGTTTTTCGATAATCCATGATATTTTAATCAGTTTCTCGATCCACCCACAGTGTTACAAAGTGTTAAAAAAATTGTTTTGCGAATAATACATACAGATTATATAGTTAAAAATGGATAATAAAAATAAAATGACGTACAAGTGCTAACGAAAGTGTTCGAATAGCTCTGAATATATTATTTTTCTATAATGGCATAATATAATTAACATAAGCGATAATCAACTGGTCAAATATTTCCATGCATCAAACTGTAGACTAATGATAATTTTCATGAAACATTTCATTTAGCATGAATATTACAAATCTGATGCAAGTTCTTTTTGTTAATTACTCCATTCTACGATCCATTACGATTTTATCTGGATGCAATTTTAGACGAAATTCATTAACACTCCGAGTAAATAGCCGATAAATTAATAACGACATGTGGTAATTAATTATGAAACCGAATGCACGGAAAATCAAGGGAAATTATTATCGGATAACTGAGAATATTTTCACTCGGCGACCGATCCATACCAACGTAGCAAAATATTTTCCATTTCCCTAACCATCATTTCCTTTCTCTATTTTCGTGCATTAAAATGCAAAATATTCGAGAGAACAAAGAGAAACTACGTATGGATTTTTGTTTCTCTCGTACCAGTTCTTTCAACAGAGAGAATAATCGCGCGATTTTCATGGCTTTTCTCTGTACACGCGAAATATAAATTATCCTATCGAAACGTAACCCGTGCGGGTTTCGATAAATTTTCGATTTTAATTTAATCGTCCATTAATCGGAAAGAAGAGCTGTGGTTTATGAGAAAGCAACGGAACGT